TTCAAAGATGACAACTAAATTATACCAACAAACAGGTTTCGTGAAGAAATAAGTTCAAATTATGTTCTGAAGCTTCTAAACCGTCATCCAAGTTTTTATATTAGCAATTTAGCTCCTCTAAGTTAGAGCTTGAAGATTTCATGCAAGGCTATTTCTTTTTTTTTAGAAAAAAATAGTTATTGAAATACTTAAATGTAAACTGTCAACTTAAAGGAGGACTACTTGGTAAAATAGGAACTAGGGTTTCTTAGCATATAAAAAGAAAGAGAGAGGGGAGAGAAGGGGGGTAGCGGCCAGAAGTGAAGAAACACAAATTCTCTCCTCTACAAACCCAAAAATCATGCTCTCTTCATTCTTTCAGAGTAGTTGTTCAATGGTTATGCAAGGCTAAGCTCTTTTCTTGGTTGCAAGGACACAACAAACCTTCAAATTTAAAGAACCGTGAGATTTATTCTTCCTTTTATTTTCAATTTATATTATGAATAACCGTGAGATTTATTCTTCCTTTTATTTTCAGTTTATGTTATGAATGAGTATGATTGTTTTCCTATGCATATTTCTTATGATTGTTGTTGATGATTGCTAGAGCGGACTCTAAGTTATTATTGTGAACAATCTATTGCTAAGTTTAATATCAAAACCAGAGTTGTGATATATGAACTTGTAAAGCAACTAAACTTGATAATTGTGGCAGAACTACGTTATTGAACTTAGGGAGAACATTTGAACAAAGTGACACAAGTTGCGGACAACTTGTATGTTAATCTTGATGAAATTATCTAGTTCTTAAAATTGCCATTAAATTGAATCATTAGTGCAGACACTTTGATTGTTTGTTGGTTAGGATTAGTTATATGGCGAATCTGTTAATTAATCAACATTAAGAAAAGATAAAATTTTAGAACATAAACTGCAGTTTAGTTTCAAGGATCGGTTCTAACTTCTGTTGGTGGATATGTGCTTGCGACCAAGGTTTGTTTTCTTGATAAATTTTGATTTTAATTGATTTTTTTTGCTAGTTTAATTGCTGCAATAATTTAGATAGTCACAAACCAAATCCCCCCAATTACATAATGTATAACATAATAATCTGACTTGAAACTTCCTTGTGGAATCGACCCCTTGCTTGCTGTATACTATTTTGTGTGTTTTAAGTTAGGGTAATTAATTTGTGTGACCGCGACATCGCAACAAAGAGTCTTTGTTTTCCCGATGGATATGCCTCAAACATATCAAGGTGGTTAATTTGAAGGATTGCAAATTGTATAGAATGAAGAGCCTTGATTGCCATATGTTTATGCAAACACTCATTCCATTAGCTTATCGTGATTTATTGTTAAAGGCGATATGGGATATACTCACGGAGATCAGTTATTTCTTTAAATATATATGCTCTAACAAGTTGTAGACACAACACATTGAGAGGCTTAAAACAAATATTGTCGAGACAAGATGTAAACTTGAAATGATATTTCCTTCATCATTTTTTGACTCGATGGAGCATTTATCCATATATTTACAATATGAGGTAAAAGTTAGAGGCCTAACTATTTTTCTCCTTTTTATTATCTATTATTTTCTCAAATTCATTGACACAACTAAAAGATTGATGTCTTCTCCCAAGTATAGGAGTGTCGAAGTAATAAATAACCCGACAAGACCGGGATCGAACCACAAGGAGGTTAAATGTATAAATTATAAACAACAACAATAGTAACAATAACAACAACAACAATAATAGTAGCAATAATAATATTAGTAGTATCAGTAGTAGTAGTAGTAGTAGTAGTAATAATAATAATAACAATAATAAAGAAAAAGAAGAAGGAGAAGAAGAAGAAAAGTTGATGAGAACTTTTAGATGGAAAATTAACGTAAGGATTAAATAATGATAACAAACAATGTCAAGGTTAGAGGATCCAAAAATGGTATGTCAAACAAGTATAGTATAAACTCTTATTATTCAATTGGAAACCACACACAAAGAAGGTTCCAATCAGATTATAGATTGTTAACATGATTACATTAGTCATCTTATTCAATTAATGCTAATACTTGTAAATCTCGTCAAGCATTCATGATTATAACTTATGTTAACAATAAATCAAGTTCCTTTTATAGCTCAAGTGTCGGTTATACCATACAGTATGGGCTATGAAAGTGCCAAGCATTTGTTGTATCAAGTGTTGTACAACATAAATCAAGATTAGTCATTTAACAAGCAAAGTATTAAAGAGTGAATAAGATAACAAATATAAAACATGTTAGTATCAAACATTAAAGTCCATATTAAGTTTATACAATACTTATTCTTACACCATTAGTGTAATATTTTCACCTTGACATAATAAACCTAGCTAGACATAATGAAAGAAAGAAAAATAAATAAACAAAATAAGAACATAAATAAGATAAAAGTTAACTAAGTAAATGAAAGGCATAAACTTGATGTTAATGAAAGCAAAGCATAAACATTACAAAAAATACAAAGAGAGAAAGCAAGAGCATGATCTTGATCTGGAAACTAAGATGCCTAAATGTATGGCAAATACCTCCTTTTATAGGCCAAAATTGGAAACTATTGATTTGATAACTAATTGATGAGTGGGTGACCAACTCTTGACTTGGTGACAATCCTTATCTTCTCTTTCCTGCCCAAAACGTCATTGCTAACGTCAAAATTGGAGCCACTCGAAAACATGAAAGTTGTAGAAAATTGTCTCAGCTTACTTGTGTAAAAACTTCAGCTCATTTGGACTTTTAGAACTCCAGATATAGGCTAAACACTGAACAATGCTCGGGTTGGAAGACAGATTCGGGCTTTTTTGTTGTTGCTACAATTTAAACTTGAAAATGATATTTTTAGATCTTGGGCTCCATATGAAAGTTGTAGGCCTATGTCTTACCTTTCCATCCATATAAAGTAGACCTAAATATGAGATCTATAGCTACAGATATGACTCAATTACTAAACAGTATTTCGGTTTGGATTGCACCGCCATCTCTTTATCCTTTCAATTTCAGTTCTTAAATTCATCAATCAATCCTTTTATTTATGTGATAGGCCTGTATTTAAAATAAATATTTACCATAAATTAAAAGTATCTTATATTACCAGATGCGTTATTATAAAATATGCTTTAGTTAAGGAGTTATTGATACTTCAAGTGCAAAATGATGATATAAAACCTTGATAAAAAATGCAGTTTTAAGTACTAATCAATTATAAATACTATTTTGCTCTTGGGAGCACAAAAAATTAATCCTTAAGTAAGGGGCTCTTTTGTCTCTTTAGATAAAAAAAAAAGAACACTAAGAGTATGACCATATCATTAGAACGGGAAAAAGTATACATGCATAAAGGGGTTTATTCATCATTTTCTTTTATTAAACAATTAAATAATAGAATTATTCTCATAATTTAAAAAATTAAAGGCTAATTGCAAAGGTGTTTTGCTCTTTTTAGACTTTTTTTTTTGTTATTCATGGATTCTTACAAGGGGTGTCTTGGTAATTTTAGGTTTAAGAATATTATTAAAAAAATCATTGTAAGAGTCAATATATGATGACTTTTGCACCATTAAGTGGTGCATGAAAGCCCATACAATAACCAAAATTCTACTTTCATCATGGCATTAGACACGGTACGTCATCCTCTTTCTAGTGATGTGACATGTGCTCATAGAAGAGGTTTGTTTTGTGGAAGTTTTTTCTTTCTTCTCTCTTTTCTCTCCCATCACCTAAAAAATTGCGCCTAAACTTCTAAAAAAACAATTTTGTCATTCAGATTGTAATCTTATCGAATTGGTTTTCATTCTTTTAATTGCTCTTTATTTGGTGTTTGAATGTTTTCGAAGTTTGGATTTTTTTTTAATTTTATCCGAGTGCATTTTATTCAATTTGATTTCTTTTATCTTGTTTGGTCCCTCTACTTTTAATTGCTCTATTTACGTGCTTTATATTTTTTTTTATTCTTTTTTTTTTGTAATTTCATCTCTTTTTATTTTATTGCGTTTGTTTTTTAATTTATTTTGTGTCCTTATTTTTTTAATTGCTATATTCTTATTCTTGATTTATCTTTTTTTTTAAAATTTTATCTATCATCATTTGATTTTATTTGATTTTCTATATAATTTTTTATTCTCATTCTTTCAATAACTTTCTTTGTTATCCTTTTCTTAGTTTTTTATGTTTAACAATTTAGCCTTTAATTATTTTTTTTTTATTTTTTTTATATTATATATGGTTTTCATTGTTTAAATTTTAAATTATTTTATGGTTGGATATTTCACTATGTTTTTTTTCGTTGCAATTGCCTTTCAACATGGAAATATTTTAATAAAAAATTTATTTTAAAAAAATTCATTATTAGCCATTTAATTTTTTAGATGTTTTTTATTGAACTTAAATTTGTTTTACTAGACTATCTTTTTGATATTTTTTTATTTTAATCTAATATTATGAGTTGGTTCTACATTAAATTTTATAATTTTTTATTTTTTTATAAGTTATTTCAGTTTTATATCTAGAATATAATTTTAATTAATTTAATAAGATTTTTCTCGATTATATTCAGTGAATATGTTTTTAAAGTTGGAAAAGGTGCTATGCAGTAAAAAACTGTCAGAAGAAGTCGACTAGTGTACAAGTCGGATTCCAAGAGTCCAAGCCAACAGGAGTGACCAACCATGGCCCATTAACACATGGTCATGATGCTCCTACCCCACACGGAGGGAGAGAGGGGGGGAGGGTTATCTTACGGTGCATCATGATTGTACACCACACGGAGGGAGAGAGGGGGGGAGGGTTATCTTACGGTACATCATGATTGTACACTAATGCCTTGCGTGCACTCCTCACTCACACGCACGCACGCACGTATGAAACTCGCTTTTCTTTCCCTTCTTATCTCGTGTTTATTGTGTACTAGTACTGTCACTTTTCATTATTCCCACTCACAGGGACAATTCCGTCAATTTGTTTTCTATATAGTCTCTCCTTTCCGTTTTCTCTCAGCATTTCCACTTTGACTGTACTCTCTCTCTCTCTCTCTCTCTCTCTCTCTCGGTGCAGTGCGGTTTTTCGATCTGAGTTTGAAGTTCAAGAATTCAGCGGCTAAAAGGTATTGTTTTTCACTGTAAGTTCCTCATCCATTTCCTGTTTCGTGGGTTTAATATTCCTTGATCGCTTTCACGAGATCATCTGTTTTTCAAACGGGCTGGGCTGTGTTTATTTCATCTGCATACTGTCTGGCTAGAAATGGGCTTTGTCTAGTATACTGCTGGGTCGGGTTATTGTTCTCTGAAGAAAATGAGGTCTTCTGATGCTAGTTTCTGAGTTGTGAATCTGTTCTTTCTAGTTAATTTTTTGCCTAGCTATTTTCAATTATTTTAGTCTGTTGGTTTAGATGATAAATCTTAGGAAAAAATGGTACCACAGAAGTAAATGCTGAATTTCATTTCGGATCAATTCAATTTATTTCCTTATAAAATAATAAAAGGATGGTTTACTGTGAGACTCACAATGAATTTAAATTCCTCCATTTATAAAAAAAATATGTTTCCATCTTAAAATCCTATTTTGCAGGGTTGATGAATTGGTTTTGGTGAAGGGAACAACTGTGGCGATATTCTTGGGAGAGAAACACTATGCGGTGGTTCCTGAGTCTTTCTATTGATGTGTATCGGAAAGTTATCTCATTGAATCTCTATTGTAAAGTGATCCTGTAAATTCCTTTACAAGCCTCGCCTTAAATTCTTAACCTTTTTCGTCTTGTAACTCGATGGGATCCACTTTCTTCGTTGTCGTTCCCTGTTACGTTCGTCAGATTAGCTGAACAGTAGCAAATCCAATATCCTCTCTGCTTTCTTTCTCATTTTGTTTCCTGGGTGAAAAATCTGACTGCTTGTTGTTTATTTCTTGGTCTAGTTATCCCTCCAGTTACGTGTATTAGGTGTCCCTTTGCTGACGATTAATATAGTTTTCTGTGTTCAAATTAACATTGTCCCTTTGTTTGTTCTTCTCTGGAATTTCGTTCTTTCTGTTATCAATATATTGAAGGGCTGGGAAGTAGTTATGGTGTGCCAAGCTGCGAGCCAAACAAATTTTCGGGCATTGAAACACGAAAACGGGATTGCTGGGTGTGCCACCATTATAGTTAGAGTTATAGCATGCTTTCAACCGCTTCAGGATTGCCAGGTTAGTCAAGTTAATTTTATTCGTTGGAACTTTTTTTTTTATGGAGAAATTATGTGTACTTGTTTTGTGCCGTTCATTGGCTAAATATTCTCCTTTTTCATGCTTTAGTTTCCGTGGTCTTCTTCACTTCTGTCCTTTATAATAGTTGGAAAGTTTATGCTATGCCTTTCTTTTACTGATTTTTCTTTCTTTCATATCTTTCAGGCTGAATATTTCCGTCATCTGCTTAAACCTGTCACGTAGATTTAGTTTTTCACTTTCGTTTTCAAGTTAAGCTGGATTGTTTTATTTTTTTCATTATTACTGAAAGAAGTAAGTGAACAGCCACTTCTACTACAGCAGAAATCCTTTTTCGGTGCGTTTTGCTTTGTCTGTTTGCATTAACTCAGTTCTGAATTCTCCTAGATTTCTTATAACGTGTATTTTTTTTTCCAATCCATGTATTGCAGGTGATTGTTGTGGTTAAATGGGAGAAGATTGGGGATCTCTGTTTCCTCAGCAGCGATTTAATTGGCAATCACCCAATTCAAATTACTTGGGTGCTTCACTTGCCTTTGGGCAGCAAAATGCTCTTCCTTTGCTTATGGATCCCAATACTAACATGGTCTCTACAAATGGGATCGGGTATCCATTTACTGAGCTACTGCACTCACTGGCTAGCCAGGAAAATGAACCTCGTGGATGGTTTCATGGTTTGCCTCACTTCCGACAGGCCGTAATGCCTCCTTCAAACTCTGTTCTTAAAGAGAGAAGGCCTCGTTTAGACACTGTTCTCAAAGAGAAACTCCCAACTGCCCCTCATGACAATAAGGAGAACAACATACCTAAGGCAGTCTCTGGCTGTGATCAGAAAAGATTGCTTGTTTTTGACCAGTCAGGTGATCAAACAACTTTGATCTTTAGTTCTGGAGTTGGGACTTCTGTCCAGTTCTTGAAGTCTTGGATACCAAAACCAACAGTTGGCTTTGATTTGAATAGGGAAATTCCTGGGGCTAAATGTCAAAATTTTCATTTAGGACCAATCGCAAATGATGAATTTGTTGAAGATGATGGGATTGATATGCATGAGGACACTGAAGAACTGAATGCCTTGCTTTACTCGGATGATGGAAGTGTTTGCTCTGAAGATGAAGTCACCAGTACAGGTCATTCACCTAGTACAATGACAACACATGATAGGCGAGATTGGTTTGATGGAAGCGCAGAAGAGGTTGCTAGTTCTAATGGTTCAAACAAAAAGAGAAAGCTGTTTGATGGAGGTTATACAGATGCTCCATCACTCAATGACACAGCTACTTCTGTAAAACCCACTAGATGTTTTGGTCACGAGGAAGATGCAGAATCCAGGTGTGACAATGGCACCAATTCAGTGTTACATGAAATGGGTTCAGAATCAGGCAACAAGAGGATGAGAAAAGAGAGTATTCGTGAGACAATGAGCATTCTCCAGAACCTCATTCCAGGTGGAAAGGGCAGGGATGCAATTGTTGTTCTTGAAGAAGCAATTCAATACTTGAAGTCATTGAAGTTCAAAGCGAAAGCTTTAGGACTTGATGCTCCATGAGTTTCAATGCTTGTTATGCCAGTAATGCTAGGTAGTACTACCTGGTATTGTCCTATTATTAGTTAGATATTACTAGTGTTGTGTGCGGAATAAGTAAGGTGAAAACTTATGTTGGGTTTGATTTGAACCGGAGAAACAGTTCCTAGCGAATGAGGTGAGTAATAGTAAAAGGAGGAAAGATCGGTGTCCATCTCTTGTAGCCTGTCTCAATTTCAATGTTCAGCGGCTCAAACTGCAAATCAGCAAGCTTTGGATTATGAAAAATTTGCTGCCGTCTAGAAAGAGGAATGGAATTGCAGCGTAAGATGTCCCAATAAAGGAAAGTGAGTCATTAAGCTATGTCTTAGGGTTTAGAGAAAGTAGCACTCATTCCTGGGCGTGGGGTGCTGGCTGTGTGAATGAGAAGACTAGTTCTAGAGGGACCCCCATAAAGAGGATGTATGCACGCTTCTTGGGTGTGTCTTGATTCCCAACTCATTCTTCCCTTTTTGTATTCTCATCGAAGTTTTATGTTTTGTGGGGTTAATTCTTGTGAATGTGCAACATTTGCACGAGTGAGGGCATCCTTTATTTCACCTTGCAACTTCATATAGTGGCCCCAGTTCACCATGTCATGTATCCTTCCAAGTATTGTTGTAACTCAGGATGTACTCCTATAGATTGTAATGGTTTTGTAATTGGAATGTGGAAGAACAGTTGTGGTGTTTGTTTGCATGGGGCTATCTATGACTGTTCAATCTTGTGACTCTTTGTGAATATAGTGGTTTGGTTGGCTGGATTTAGTTAATTTGCTTGGTTTCGCTGGTGTCTTTTATGCCTACGTGCATGTGTCTCCATGCCAAGTTTCTGATACAAGACGGTGATGTGTTAATGTGTGATGTCTTTTCTATATGCAAGAGTGCAAAATTGTCCGTCTCTCTGGAGATGATGTCACTGCGACGGGACCACAAAGATGCATTATTTTGGAGACGAAGCAAGTGTGAATCCTAGCACGGGTGTGGCCTATTTTCCTGCGAAACTGGGACAAGAAAATTGCAATTAAGAAGGGGGTGTTTCAACTCGTTTGAGGCCTCCGCCTGGGCTCTTTGAGTACAGTGGACATTTTTGTGTTATCTAGGGTTGGTTTACTGTAACTGAAAACAGAGAAGAGAAGACAGAAAAGATGAAGATCATAAAAATAGAGGATACAATACATTACGAGAGACAAACATATTTGTGTTTGGTTTGTGGTGTATAAAATAGAATGATTATGTCTTTTTCATGTTTTTGTTTGGTTGATGATATAAAAAATAATATATATATATATATATATATTTCTATTTTACTTTAATTTTTATTGAGTGTTGAAATTAATAATAGTATAATAATTAAAGTTATAAAATCTATATTAACATGATGGGTCAACCTAAAATGTAAACAACCCAGAATTTGGATTGTATTTGGTAAGTGATTATCGTTATATCATATTTGTTTGGTTTATGGTAAATAAAATAAAATAAAATATAAAAATATCTATTTTACTCTTAATATATATTATCATCAAACTTACATATTAAAAAAAAATATTATTATTCACTTTAATTTACATTGAGAGTTGAAATTAATAATAGTATAATAATATTAGTTATAAAACGAGGATCAGCCTGGCGAGTCGACCCAGGACCTAGACAACTCAAGGTTGGATTGATCTGAATTTTAAAAAATAAAGGAAGGATTTACCCAACTTGACCTGATAAAAAACCTTGGTTGACCAGTGACCTAGTAAAACACTGAGTAAAAAACCTCGTAATTCGTTTTGAGAAAAAAATTGGGATTCACCCTCCTGATTTGTGACTCTAGATGAATTTTAAAATTATAATAATAATTACTTTTATCTTTATATGCTTTAATTGGATAAATTTAAAATTAAGATTTTTTTACATGGATATTTTTAGGGTAACAATAATAATTATTGTCTCTGGATACATGTTCTTTTTATACATCCTGTTTTGAAAATACATAAATTTACTTCAAAATTGTATTGGGAACGAATTTATTTTTGTGTCTCTGTTATTTCAACTAACATATTTTATCTCTAATGTATCTATCTATTTTATCCTGAGATAGTTACAAAACATTAGCTACCAGGACAACGTATCTAAACCAAATGAAGTGAAGATTTCAAAATATGATAATTATTATTTTGTTAAAAAAAAGAAGATGTTTTTTCTAACGTGATTAGATTTTGAAAATTAATTTTATTTGTTATTTATTACAAGATATATTAAGACAATTCAGTGAGACATCATAGACTATAGTGTAGAGGAATAATGTTAGAAAAAATTCAATTCTGTTCATAGAGTATTTGTTTTTCAATTTAATCTATGAAGTTTTATATTTTTCTTTTAAATTCTCAGACTTTATTTTAACTATTTCAATCCCTGAATTTTAAGAGATAAAAGAAAAGATCATCGAAAAGGAGGAAAAAGATTTTGGTTGAACTTGCTCTAATAAAAAAAACCTCAATCTTGGTTTTAATGGATTTGTTTTGGAGAAGAGAACTCAATAATTGATTAGTACTCAAAAGTGTATTTTTATCATGGTTTTATATCATCATTTTGCACTTGAAGTATCAATAACTCCTTAACTAAAGCATGTTTTATAATAATATATCTAATAATATAAGATACCTTTAATTTATGGTAAATGTTCATTTTAAATGCAGCCTATCACATAAATGAAAGGATTGATTGATGACTTTAAGAACATAAATTGCAAGGGCAAAGAGATGACCAAAATTAGAAAAGAGATGTCGGTGCAATCCAAACCGGAACACTGTTCGGTAATTGGGTCATATCTGGAGCTATAAATCTCAGATTTAGGTCTACTTTATATGTATGGAAAGGAAAAACATAGGCCTATAACTTTCATATGGAGCCTAAGATCTAAAAATGCCATTTTCAAGTCTAAATTATAGCAACAACAAAGAAGCCCGAATCTGTCCTCCAGCCCGAACACTGTTCAGTATTTTGGCCATATCTGGAGTTCTAAAAGTCCAAATGAGCTGAGGTTTTTACACAAGAAAGCTGAGACAATTGTCTACAACTTTCATGATTTCAAGTGACTCCAATTTTGACGTTATCAATGACGTTTTGGGCAGATAAGAGAAGATAAGGATTGTCACCAAGTCAAGAGTTGGCCACCCACTCATCAATTAGTCATCAAATCAATAGTTCCCAATTTTGGCCTATAAAAGGAGGCATTTGCCATGCATTTAGGCATCTTGGTGTCCAGATCAAGATCATGCTCTTGCTTTCTCTCTTTGTATTTTTTGTAATGTTTATGCTTTGCTTTCATTAATATCAAGTTTATGCCTTTCATTTCCTTTCCTTTCCTTAGTTAACTTTTATCTTATTTATGTTCTTATTTTGTTTATCTATTTTTCTTTCTTTCACTATGTCTAGCTAAGTTAATTATGTCAAGGTGAAAAAGTTACACTAATGGTGTAAGAATAAGTATAATGTAAACTTAATATGGACTTTAATGTGTGATACTAACATGTTTTATATTTGTTATCTTGTTCACTCTTTAATACTTTGCTTGTTAAATAACTAATCTTGATTTATGTTGTATAACACTTGGTACAACAAATGCTTGGCACTTTCATAGCCCATACTGTATGGTATAACCGACACCTGAGCTATGAAAGGAACTTGATTTGTTGTTAACATAAGTTATAATCATGAATGCTTGACGAGATTTACAAGTATTAGCATTAATTGAATAAGATGACTAATGTAATCATGTTAACAATCTATAATCAAATTGGAACCTCCTTTGTGTGTGGTTTCCAATTGAATAATAAGAGTTTATACTATACTTGTTTGACATACGATTAGTGGAATCTCTAACCTTGATATTTGTTATTATCATTGTTTAATCCTTACATTAATATTCTATCTAAAAGTTCTCGTCATCTCCTTTTTCTTTTTCTTCTCCTTCTTTTTCTTTATTATTATTACTACTACTACTCCTCCTCCTCCTCTTCCTCCTCCTACTACTAGTATTATTAGTATTATTATCGCTACAAGTGGTAGACTTTGTAGGGTATCCTCATCATTTTCAGAAAATATGGCCGAAGAAGATAATCAATCACTTCATAATGAGAATAACCGTGCTAGAACACTTAGAGACCACATGAATCCCACAAGAACAAGTGCACCATCATGCATAGTTTTTCCTCCCGATTCATCTCATTTTAAATTTAAGCCAGACATTATTCAACTTTAACCTTCTTTTCATGGCTTAAAATTGGAAAATCCATACTTGCATTTAAGGGAATTTGAGGAGGTCTGCAACACATATAATAATTTAAATTGTAGCATGAACACCATCAAATTAAAGTTTTTTCCTTTTTCATTAAAAGATAAAGCTAAAACATTCGTGCTTGGGATGAAATGCAATAACAGTTTTTAAAGAAGTTTTTCCCATCTCACAGAACAAACTCTTTTAAAAGACAAATCACTACTTTCACTCAAAAACCAGGAGAAACATTTTACCAATGTTGGGATAGGTATCGAGACTTGCTTAGTACTTGCCCTCATCATGGTTTTGAAACATGGAGATTGGTTTCACATTTCTATGAAGGGTTAACTCCTAAAGATAGGCAAATGGTTGAATTGATGTGCAATGGAACTTTTAAAGATAAAGACCCTGATGAAGCAATGGAGTACTTAGACTTGTTAGCTGAAAATGCTCAAAATTGGGACACCGCGGATACTTATGAGGCACCGAGTAAAACTCAACCTCATACATCTAGTGGAGGTATGTACAACCTTAGGGAAGATCATGACCTTCAAGCCAAGTTTGCATCTTTAGCTAGAAAAGTCGAGGCACTAGAATTGAAAAAGAGTGGTCAATTAAAATCTGTTGAAAACATTGTGTGTCAAATTTGTGAAACAAATGAACACTCAACCAACGATTGTCCAACCTTGCCTTCTTTTAAGGAATGTCTCCATGAACAAGCCCATGCTTTAAACAGTTTCCAAAGGGCCAACCACAACCCATACTCCCAAACATACAACCCTGGTTGGAGAAATCACATAAATTTCAGTTGGAAGAGCGAGAACAACAATGCACAAACTTCACAACCACCGTTTCAAGCACACCAATATTTCCAAAGTTCTCATGGATATGCACCTCCTTATGCTCCACCTCCTAGAAGAAATCTTGAGGAAACATTGCATGCATTCATTGAAAAGCAAGAGACAATCAATACTCAACTTGCTCAAAACATGACAGATTTTAAAGATACTCTTGCTAAATTAACATCTGCTCTCAGTTTCCAAGAGAAAGGTAAGTTTCCATCTCAACCACAACAAAATCCCAAGGGGCAATACAATGCAAATGCAAGTAGTTCCGGAAGCCAACACATGGATCAAGTCAAATCAATCACTACTTTGCGCGGTGGTAAGGTTATTGAAAAACCCTCTCTTGAACCTTATGAGAAAGATGGTGAGTCAATCTCTGAGGGTAAGGAAGGGGTTGAATATGAAAATTGCAAATAAACGACTGATTCTCCGCCACCACTTCCATTTCCTCAAGCCATGACCAAACAAAGGAAAGTCAATCACAACTCTGAAATTTTTGAAATTTTCAAACAGGTAAGGATCAATATACCTTTGCTGGATGCTATTAAACAGGTTCCTTCCTATGCTAAATTTTTGAAAGATCTATGCACTGTG